GGCGTGGAAAGACTTGGTCCGAGTAACCAGGGTGAATTGGGTTCTTAGCGATAGTGTCGGATTAGAGCTCTTGATTATGTTACGAATCTCTTTATACAGAATCGCGGGATTTGGTCACGAATTCCTTTCGTAATTACGGATTACACTTATCGGGGGTTAGTAGAACAAACGCTTCTACTTAAAGAACTTATTAATCACAAGTAAATACTCTTATTTCTTTAACTTAGACCATCGAACTCCCTGGAGTTATCTTTATTGCATGCAAAAGACAGTGCTTTTATACTTTCGCACTACTTAGTACAATGAATATATTCGCTAAATCAACTAATTGCACTAAATACGATAAATCGACTAAATACAATAAATCGACTAAATGCGATAAATCGAATAAATCGAATAAATCCAATAAATCGAATAAATTCAATAAATGCCATTAATTCAATAAATGCCATTTCCTCCATACTAGCTAATTTTGGCTAGGTTCGATCTGAGCCACCTCAGCATACGAAATGAGCCAATATTCACCCGATTGGTTAAATTTAATATGCATCCAACCCTCCAAAAATAGAAAATTCTATTACGAGCCACGATTTACCCTTTCACAACGTACGTAATTCTTTATCTTTTTAGTAATAATTTTTAGTGTAATATTTTACCTGCTATTTCTCAAGTGGTAAATACCAATATTTTGAGTTTGAATTTATATTCATTAGAAATTAATAAATAAAATTGGTATGGGTTTATTGGAAATTACTTGACTCATCATTACGGAAAGGCACTGAGTACACATAATACGCCTTATCTTGTGAAGAACTCATGCGGGCGGCTTCGCCGCCTATAATATGCTAAAGATAATAGATTTGTTTGTTTTATTCTTATTTTTATTTCGTAATGAAATTTTTCTTAAGCTTTTCCATCATTAGATCTCCATCTTCCTCTTCGGGGCCAAAGCTGGCACATTAAATTTAAATCTTTTATTTGTCATATGAAACGATATTTGTGTTGGTCAGGCATGAAAAAATTCTGTCAGGTTTTGTCGGTCATTGTGACGCAGTCAAAATTTATAAAGCTCAAAATGTTAGGTTAGCGTTTAGAATAAGGTTAGAGATTAGGAGATTAGATAGTAAAATCGCTCAAGGAAACCTTTTTGTTAGAGCAATAAAGGGAAATGATCGTGTTACGTTACACCTGATTCATGAAATCTGATTTGTAGTCTAGAAATCTGCGCAACAATGATCGACAAAACCTGGCACAGAATTTTTTCATGCGTAAATTTATACTGTTGCTATTATATGAAATAATACTAAGAAAAAGCCAAATTTGGGCTTAAACATATAATTTTCTGGGACTCTTATTATTTTTGTAGAACAGTAGAAACTTTATAACCGAAAGGTTATGAATCAACAAAATAACCTTTTTTCATCACAATGTCATTTTCTATAATTAATATTTGTAAAGAAAAAATATCGAAGAAAAACCTCATAAATGATATAATAAATGGTCTCACATCGAAAGAAAATGACATGAAAGTTGTCCCTTCAATAGTTCTTTATGATGATCGCGGTTTACAGATTTATGACCAGCTTACTTATACTGACGAATATTATTTGACTAATTTCGAAATCAATATTTTGAATAAGAAAGTTGACCAAATCACAGATTACATCGCCTCGGACAGCACTGTGATCGAACTCGGTGCTGGGTAAGAATAAAACCGTCTCGCTCACTTCATCGACACTTATTTCGTAGACACAACACCCACCTCACCGACATATTTATTTTACCGACACTCAAATCACCGACTTAATTCACTGACAATCAGTTTACCGTCGCTTTTTTCACCGACAAAACAATTCTGGTTATTGCCGTTAGGTCGAGTTAGGGTAATTTATAAAAAAAAGCTTGTCGATGAAATGAACTGTCTGTCGGTGGATTGATTGTCAGTGAAATAAGAATTGATTGCCAGGAATTAAGTGTCGGTGAAATGAACATGTCGACAAATCAATTGTCGGTGATCTGAGTGTCAGTAAGATAAATATGTTGGTTAAGTATTGTGTCTACGAAATGAGTGTCAGTGAAATAATGCGGATCCAAATAAAAATATTGTATGCAGTCAATTCTCTTTCATACTGAGCTATTATCGCGACTTACCTTCGATCGGCTGACGCTGTAATTTGAGGCACCTCCTAAAATTGACATAATACTCTCTTATTAATAATTTTAACCTAAACCAATTTATCACCGAAAAAAAAGCCATAACTTTTTTTTATTGAAATAGTTTCAAATCTAGACGTAACTAATCTTTGCATCAGCCGTAACATTTACTTGGTTTAGGGAAAAACTGTGTAGGTACTGCAGTTTAATTAATGTTATGTATAAATCTTTAAGAAAAATTTTACCTTTTCTTAATAATTTTTAAAAGTTTTTTGGACCCAACTTGTCCTAATTAAATTTACAATTTAATTAGAACCAGTTAGGACTAAAACCTCTAGCTGCGTAATTTTTCAGCAGTCTTTTAGGTGCAGGTATTTTCCTTGAATACCGTGCATGTCTTTGAAAAACTTTTATAATGCGGCTAATGTAAAATAAACATGTATATCAGATCGTTACGAATTACTAGGCTCATTCACAATAATATGGAAAAAAAGAAGAAAAACATCACTTTTTATGCCCTTGATCTCATGGAAAACGAGCTTAATAAGTCATTATCTTCGTTGGGGACTTTTTCACATGTTAAACTTGTTGGTCTCTGTGGCACTTATGAAGATGGAATGGACTTTATAGCAACTTTACCAGATAATAAACAAAAAACTTTCATGTGGTTAGGTTCCTCAATTGGAGATTTAAGTAGAGAAAATGGAGCAAAATTTATCCATCTTTTCCAAGAAAAAGTAATGAATCCTGGTGATTTGTTTTTAATCGGAATCGATAGGAGAAACAACCGTGAAAAAATTGCTGCTGCTTACGATGATCCTCAGGGCATCAATGCTGAGTTTGCAATGAATGCATTGGATCACCTTAATGTTATTTTTGATCAGCCATTTATCAATCGTAATAATTTTGATTATTTTTCAACCTATAATGAAGATGAAGGTAGACGTGAAGGATATTATCGGTCCAAAAAAGATCAAATATTTGAATTTATAGTTTCTAATGATATCAACAAAGAAAAAATCAAAATCAACGTAAAAGTGAATGAACTTATTCTAATTGCATATTCTTATAAATATAATAAAACTGAAACTACGAAGCTTTTTTACGATGCCCATTTAGCTCATGTAGAAAGTTGGTCTGATTCTGATTTTCTATATGATCTTCACTTAATTTATAAACCTCCATTCTTCTTTACACGTCCTCAAGAATTAAACGGGTTGGATGTTCTATAGAATAGGTGGGCAATATAAGAAATAAGCTTCGCTAATGATTAGTCATCATTAATTCTTTGATAGCGGAGTTGCAGAGTTTGCGGAGTTTGCCCACCTATTCTATAGAACATCCGAAGGGGGTTTGTACCAACCGTGGAAGAATGGCAAGAAATATGGAAATCATGGGATGCGATATCCTTGAGCATGATTCCATTGGATAAAATGTATTCGAAACCTATTTATCTTCGACATCCTTTGATTTTTTATTTAGGTCATATTCCCTCTTTCCTTGATATTAAATTGGCCACATATTCTCATGAAAAATTTACTGAAACAGAAAATTTTGCCAATATTTTCGAACGAGAAATTAATCATGATATGGATGACTTGTCAAAGTGCAATCCTCATTCGGCTGTTCCTGATCAATGGCCAAAATTAAGTTTAGTCCTCGAATATCAAGATAAGGTTAGGCAAAGACTTTTACGTATTTACGATGCTTATAAGGATAAGCAAATACCACGTTCTTTAGGTAGCATCTTGTGGATGTCTTTTGAACATGTAGCAATGCATCTTGAAACTTTTCTTTACAAGATAGTGCAATTTTACCACCAAAAGGTGTTGTTATCCCTAATTTGCGCCCACCAATTCATAAAGCTTCAGATGCAAAACTACAACACAAATCATTACACTTGGTCATGATGATAATGAGGATCTTGACTTAGATTTACCATTTGGTTGGGATAACGAACTTCCTTCACGGAAAATCACCGTAGAATCATTTAAGATTCAATCACGTCCTATAACTAATAATGAATACTTGGAATTTATGAAGGTAACTGTAAATCAGAATTACCCATTATCTTGGATTCCAATAGATCTTTCGTCATTTGAGTATAGAGTTCGGACTGTATTCGGACCGGTCGATATGACCGTGGCGATGAATTGGCATGTATTGTTGAGTTTTGAACAAGCAAGCCATTATGCTGAATGGGCAAAGATGCGGCTTCCTACTGAAGGAGAATTACGATGTTTTTATGATACTTACTCACGAAACCTAAATTTGGATTCAAATTTTGGATTTGCCTATTGGCATCCAACTGATGTCCCGTTGGATAATAATTCTGTTCATAACATAGTAGTGCGTGGGCATGGACTTCTACCAAATTTGAGGAATACCCTGGGTTCGTTAAAAGTAAATTATATCCCGGAAATTCTTCTGATTTCTTTGATGGAAAACATTATGTAATTCTCGGGATCATGGTAAAAACTAGATTTATGAATTATTTGTTAAAAATTAATTCGATCAATAAATAACTTGTTTTTTGACGTAGGGCAACACATCCTCGCTTGATACAGCGGACATTCCGAAATTGGTGTCAACGCTGCTATCCATATGTATTCAGTAGCGTTATATTATGTCAAGCCTAAAATATAAAAATATTATATTTGGTTTACAATGTACTTGCATTGAAATTAATATAATTATATATACATATATATATTTCTAAAAAAAAAAAAAAAAAAAAAAAAAAAAAAAAAAAAAAAAAAAAAAAAAAAAAAAAAAAAAAAAAAAAAAAAAAA